TTGGCTTCAATATTACTAAAAGAGATGCGCTATCTAGTTTATATAAGATATCTATGGTCGGGAGCGGTCATGCTTTCGGCGCTCCTGCTATATTTTCAAAAGCTTTCTTGTTTAACTGCACTTTCGATAGTTTTGAGCTTTTACAAATTCAGTATGAAGATGAAAGGCTTCTACTTGGCAAATATTATGTTGTTCTGGTTGATTATGGGGCAACTCTGGACTATTAAAGCGACAATCTGTGAATATTGTGGCAAAGATTTTAAATCTTTGGGGAGACACATTTGGCGATGCAAATCTCGCGTTGGTCATCCGTCTCATGCTGAAAATGAAAGGCAAAGTAATATCGAACGTTCGTCGAATACAGAAAGGACTGACCACCAAGTCAATATCAATGTTGACGGTGAGCTGGTGGGTGAGTGTGCTAACTTTAGATGCTATTGTGGCCGTATGTTTTTAAGCTATCGCTCGTTGATTTTGCATCGTCGATCATGCTATATAGGGAATAGTAGCGGCAACCTTTCGGACTTATTTGTTGAAGTGAACAACCCTAATTTGAACGTAGCGGGCGAAGTTTTGACCGAAATGCCTAGTGCTATTTTTCCAAGTCAAAAACCATCGCTGTTAGTTGGAGTTAAACTCCCACGGTCGAAATCTGAATGGGACAGGGCAAACGAATATTTTCGTATGCAGATAGACACTTCGAGGGAACTAGGAAATTTGAATATGGAAATCGATCATTTGAATGGAACTATGTGGGCGTATTTTAGTGCCAATTATGGCCAAGTTAAAGCTAGGAACGAATTCAATCACTATAATAATATGTCAAAATCAAAGCTAAAGAAATGCCTCAGAAACCTTAAACTTCAGAACGGCAAACTGGAAGAAATAAAATATGTCAGTAGACTGTTGCGGAAGAAATTGCGGTCACATGTTCAGCGTAATTATGAAGAAGAATTAAGTAAAGATTTTTGAAAATTTTGTAAAAAAGAGTTTGAAGAATCAGAGACACAAGAACCAAATTTTGACGAATCGTCCTGCTATGATTATTTTAGAAATATTTTCTTCGAAAAGCATAAAAACCGAACATTCAACCTTCCCTCTTGGCTTAAACCATTTCCAGTGCTATCGAGCAATTTCGACCTGGAATGTCCAACTTACCAAGAAATAACGAAAATAATTCGGAAAATGAAAAGTAGTGGTTCTCCTTGCCCTATTGACCAAATAGGTATTATTCCTTTTAAACGGTGCCCCATCCTGAGAACACAGCTTTGGAGACTCCTCTCGAAATGCTGGACCGAAAAATATATTCCGACTATCTGGAAACGTGCTGTTGCGGTACTCATTTACAAAAAGGATTCACCTGACAATCCTGCTAATTTTCGCCCAATTGTTTTAGAGCCAGTCATGTTGAAAGTTTTCACCTCTGCGATAAGGAACAAAATTTTCAAATTCGTGCGCGATAATAAATATATCGAAACAAACATTCAAAAGGGTTTCTGGCCAGGCTTGTCTGGTACAGTTGAACATACCGAACTGTTAAACTATTTATTAAACCACGCCCGCAACAAGCAGCGGTCTATCATTGTCACTCTAATCGATCTTAAAAACGCATTTGGAGAAGTGCACCATAACCTGATAAAATCTATTTTAAGAAGTCACCACATTCCTGACGAAATCATTGGTATGATAGAAAACCTTTACACTGATTATGGTATCTCAATCTTGACGAAGAATTTTATAACCATACCGATATCTGTAGAACGCCCGTACTGCAGGGAGACTGTTTGTCCCCCTTGCTTTTCAATTTATGCGTGAATTCACTCATTAACACGATAAATGATGAAAGGATACAGTGCCTTGGTTATGTTAATGAGATTATATCCTTAAACCCTCGTCATTGGTTCCAATTCGCGGACGATGCTGCAATTATATCTGCACATAACGAAGACAATCAGCTACTGTGTAATGCATTTAGTAAATGGTCCTCTTGGGCAGACTTATATATCCGAGTAAATAAGTGCCACACTTTTGGGATCAAAAAGTTTGGGACAAAAGCAGTCCAGTATAAACCTACTATAAAAATGTCTGGTCAACAGGTTCCCCCAATCGAGGACGGTGAAAGTTTTATGTATTTAGGTAGACAATTCAATTTTGAAATGGATTGTACTGAAACCAAAATTGAGATCCTTGATAAGAAACGTTGCAGAGAAGATTCTGGTAAAGAAAAACCTTAACGAAATTTGGTCAAACTTTGTTGAACTAAAAGAACAATCCGTGATCATTACCTGCTTAACTGATACTTGCTATAAGAAGATGATTAAAGTATGGCACGAAATTGTCACTCGAATGCCCAGCAATATAGTATGCTTTGCTAGGAGAGCGTTAATTTTAAGTTTAGGAAATAATTCTAACCTAAAGCGCTGGAACATTCGTGACTCCGCCAACTGTGAGCTGTGCAACAAGTTACAAACCCAGCTACACGTTTTTTCCAACTGCAAGGTAGCCCTAGAACAACAACGCTATACTTGGCGGCATGACTCGATTCTGATGACTATTATTCATCACTTAAAAGTCGCAGTTGGTGCAGATCTTCGACTGTTTGCGGACTGTCCTAATTCAGGTACGACCTGTACTTCAACTTTATTTCGAACGCTAAGACCTGATATAGTGGTGGATTTTAAGGGTTCTGTATATGTGGTTGAATTAACTGTTCCCTACGAAACCAATTGTACGAAGGCTAAACGTCGCAAGAAAGAAAGATACAGACATCTAAGATCTGAGCTGATCACGGCGTGTTATGCGTTTGAAGTTATTACACTTGAAGTAACCACACTAGGGTTTGTGTCGAAAGATATTGACAGATTTCGTAGATTATTACGAACACTTGAAATGAACGACGAACGTATTATTAAAAAATGTATGGAGGTAGCTCTGAGAGCAACATTCTACATTTACTGCAGAAGAAACAAGCTGTGGAATAACCCAGACTTACTGAATTTTTATTAGCTACTATTGATACAAAGTGTAGAGAATGGACCTATCTGTCTAATATAGTGAACTGTTTCTCTATTTTCCTGATTTAATTGAAAGTCTAATTATGTGATATATTTGTATAAATTATCATGTTATTAATAAAGACTTCTGCTGTTTAAAAAAGTTATTATTATTATTATTATTATTATTATTATCGTGCTCAAATGGTTCCTTATATGTGGTTGAACTCACCACTGGTTATGAAACAAACCTCAAAAACAACGTAAAACGGAAGAAGGATAAATATAGAGAATTATTGAGACAGCTAGGTAAAAATTTTAACCAAGTTAAATTTATAAATCTCTCCATCAGCTCTTTAGGTATTTTTGCAGAAGAATGTTATACATTTTTAGACATGTTAGATAGTATTGGTCTTGACAAAAACCACCAAATGTACTGCGTTAGGAAAATGATGACTATTGCTATTAGAACTACATATTACATTTTTTGTTGCCGAAATACGGGAATGGGAAAATCCGGATTTACTAACAATTTGACTTATCTCATTGTATATATATATATATATTGCATGCACTTTGTTCTGTTATTTTAGTTTAGTATAATTGTGATTCAAATAGCCAACCGTAAGTTACCTTTATGAGAGAGATTTACGATTGTATATGTATGTAAAGAAAAACATTTAATAAAGTTTCCATTATATATATTTATTATCAAAAAGTCACAAATTCCAAATTATTTACAGTTAAAAATGTAGTTACTTGTCTATTTTACTGAATAACTTAATCTTTCTCTTCAATCAATTCCGATATCTTAATATATTTTGTCGTATATCCATAACGATAAGCCCGGCGAAGGAACTTGTCTATACGATCTAGATATTTCTTTCGATTGCCGAACCTCATACTTCAGTACCATTGTAAAATAATGTCATAACTAGTGAATCAAATAATTTGCTTAGGTGATCTCTGGAGCATCCATAGCACCTATATATACCCTTAATATATAATATATACGCCCGCTAGCTTTGGACAGATCGTTAACATGAAGATACCAAGAGCATGGATTATCCTGAAAAGTGGTACCCAATAATTTTAATAACCAACTCTTTTGTTCAATGCCTACAGTAGTGTTGGTAAGGATTTCGTTGACCCACTGTGCATGTACAACCATTTCTCACGTTTTAGAAATATTCAATGTAATTTGATTTGTTTCCGACCAATTCTGAATTCCGTAGCTTCAGGGGATGCAAAATCCAATCCTGATTTTACTGACGGGCACTTGCCGTTATATCATCACCAAATTTAACCAAAAGGTTGTTTTTCGCATCTACGGTTTAATTTTATGTCAGTTTACTAGGAGCGAAAATAGAAACGAGCCCAAAACCCTACCCTGCGGCACGCCTTTTTTAATGTCAACGTACATTGTCTCTATGCCATCAACAACTACTTTTTGTTTCCTATTAGCCAAGAAACTGATGATCCAGTGTGTAACATAAGGGTTAATTTTAGGTGTTTTCAGTTTTTCACAGATAGGCTAATGTTATGAAAGACCGAATTGATATAGGATAGCTTTCTCGAAATCAAATTATATTACCCCAACATACACCTGCACCTTCATCTAACCACTTAATAAGCCAATGATGTAAACACATGATCATGCAATTCATCAGTTGTAATGGTTCCTTCTTTATATGCAAATTAGTCCTGTCCGACTACAAATTTGAATGCAGATGACGCAATCTCCTGTTTATAAACTACACCTTTCAAATAGTCTCATTATGATGTTTGTAAGCGATATGTATCTCAACTGGCTGCACTCTGTTTTAATTAAAGGACATTCTTTGGGTAAAGGATTGACCTTGGCAAGTTTCCACATGAGAGGGAGTCATTGCAGCTCGATTGAAAGATTGAACAGTTTAGAAATTATAGTCGCTAAAAGATGATAAAATTCTTTCCATAGCCAATATAGGAGTCCATCAGGACCTGGGGCTGTTTGTTTTACTTTCATTAAAAAAATTACGACAGTAGGCTCGTCTAAATCTTCAACAGTGATAATAATTTGGTTTTGTGTCTATTTTTAGGCAGTCAAACTAATAAACATCATGGCTTATTTGACCTTCGTTACTGCACTTGTACTTCTGGTTGCAATACAATGTACATCCGTCAATGCATGTGGTCGTAGGAAACGACGCAACGACGGTAAGCATGTGGGTTGGGATACGCGGATACGGACAGACGGATGGACGGACGAACGGACGAAACAAAAAGAATAGAACCGAATGCGGATAGCCAACAAAAAGAATAAAATGCGGATGTCGGACAAATAAAATAACATGCGGATGGCGCAATAAAATGCACAATACTGATATAATTCTTCTTTGTACATTTTTTGTAATCATTAAATCATTCAATACACTAGTGTGTTTAATAAAATCATTGAAATAAAAGCAATGACTTTCACGGTGTTTGAATGATGCTGCCCATGATGGAAAGATAATACTTTAAAAATCACAATAGCAGTTTACGACTGCGCTACATACTGTCTCCCTTGTCTTCTAGTCGATAAACGTCCAATCTGTATTCTATCACTAAGATCAAAGCATTGACGGTACAAAGTGCCTTATATTTAATGTCGATAACTCTAAAATATGATATATCTGGAAAGAATAATACTGTTCTGTTCGTACTGGCTTCTTAGCCGTTTTGCTTCGTTGTTGCCTCAACAATATTCCCTTTTTTCCAGAGACAAAAATCACAGACTAACACTGTTTTATTTTAGATTAGTTATCCGGCAATATCCGCACTTAATCAACTAAATGCAGGGAAGTCGTTCTCTGACTGAAAACATAAGGCAAGACTGCAACATAGTAATGGCTAGCTCAAAGCTTGTTCTGACTTAACACCTATTTAATTTATTTTTACGCAGTAGATCACTAGCAATGCAGTAAGTGGTGTTGCAAAGAATATATATTGAAGTACATCAAGGGGCGTCGCTAGCCCTATTTTAATGGGAAGGTGGGTGGGGTGGGGGTGAGTAAAATTTTGCCGAGTCATCTCAACCACTAATTAAAATTTCTTTTCTCAAAAGTATTTAGTGTGGGTGTGTGTGTGGGGGGGGGGAGGGGTAAGCAGCTAAATATAAAATAACACAACAGAAAACACCATTTACAGTTAATTTAACCATACAATGCAATGCAATGCGACGCAATGGAACGCAACGCAACGAAATACAATCCAATACAACACAATATAACCATACAATACAAGTATATAGTATGTAGCGCAGTCGTAACTGCTATTATGATTTTTAATTAACGAATTTTCTATCATGAACAGAAAAATATTGTAAATTTCAAAATTTAGTGAATATTGATTCGTTAATACTTCCGGATCCGTCGTTCGCCAAAAAGTTGACTTGCGACAAACTTCTCATTTTGATATGCGAATGCACCCAGAAGTATGTGAATTTATGAACCTATTAGTTCAGTCTATGCATGCTCACTAGTACGTTTAATTTTAGTACGATACAGTTCTAAACAATCTTTAGGGTACATTCTGTGAGTGGTGAATTCTAAGTTTTGAAGGATTTGTAAGAAATGTTTGAGGGAACTGACCCAGTGTTAAACTCTCAATCAGTCCCTCAAACATTTTTTGCAAATCCTTCAAAACTTAGAATTTGCCAATGCAAAAAATTCCAACTATCATCGGCACAGAAACTTTGATAGTATAAACCAGCTTTTAGTTTAAAAACTATCGTAGCTACTTGCTCTTGAAAATAATAAGTGATGTCCATATTGATAAAGCATACGGATAAAGCTAATGTTAATTCGAGCTTACGGATCGAAAGCATTGCTAAGTAGATGATCGTCAAGTTTTAAGAAGCATACAGCTTCCAACAAGCTCAGGTCAAACCAAGTTGAGAGTTGATTGTTAGCTTCGTTTGACCGTAGTTAATGAATGTACATGGTCAGGAAACTTTTGAAATTTCTTTGTTCTAAGTTATTGTGTACCCTGTGCAGGGTTAGATTCTCACAGTTGATCATTCTTTTGTGTTGTTATTGTTTCACATGCATGCATCCTTTAAATTAAACGGGTTGTTGTTATTTTTCCAATAACATGTTTGAGATTATTTTAAAAAGAAATTTCGAACCGTAAGCCCGCGGATGATGAGAGTTGTACTGAACTGCCGCTCAACTTTACCGCGGCCACTTACCAACACTCATGCTTGTTTGATCCAGACGTTAAATACAATGGTGCTTTTCACTCGCTATATAGGCACGCCTTACTATCTTGGGGAAATGAGCTTACCTGACGCAAAAAAGGGGAAACGGAAACGTGACATCATATGGCCATGGACACTGACTCACAGTATGATCCGGTTTCGTGGCAACGTTTTCGAATGGGGGATCAACAAGACCTACTACATGAATCGTAGTCCAAGTTCGTCTCAAATCTGGTGGCACCGGGGAGCCAAAGGCCATAGCAAATGCTTACTCAGTGACGTAAAGAGTTGGACCAAAGCTTACGGAAGAAGTAATACATACCACATTCTAGCAAACAACTGCCATATGTTTGTTAATCGACTGGCAAAGTACCTGAACACTAACTGCGGACGTTGATAATTGATTAATCAAAATCTCTGAAATGGCTTAAAGGACATTGATTTTTGGAACCGACAGTTTTAATTTGATTAATAGTTTTTGATTTTGAGGTAAACATACCTTGAGAAAGTTTTGATTTTACGGTGTCAAGTTTATCTTGATAATGTACGGAATTAATGCAAATGTTACATGTAGTATGAAAAATATATAATCTCAGCAAATTCTGATTTTGAATAATGTGTGTCAAGTTGGTGTCCTTAGGCTGGAATTAGTAGTTTACGGCAGAGTTTTAATATTTTACAGAAAATAAGTTTTATTTTTCAAGTTGTTCGAGTTGTGCGGTATTTCGGAACTAAGTATAGTACCTTTGATAACAACAGGCGGTGTGCAACACGAGCGCGCAAAGCATGCTGGTTGAAATTTAAATTGCGCTCATATTCCAGTCGACTTTCGTGGTTTGTGCGTCTCTTAATACTGTATTAATTAAAGCGATGGGAATCACTGGTCTTTCGTCTCTTTTTAAACACACAAAAAATCTGAATTTTCTGGAAAGGTTAATTGCGGCAGTGGATGCGTATTGCTGGCTTTACAAAGATGCTAGTTTGTTCGCTGAAGATGTCGTGATAAGGAACGACAATAAAAAGTAAGTTCAATCATTAAATATTTATGTATTCTCCTCGAGGTTGAGGTAGTCTCATCCGTGTTTACATTCTTTTATTAGATGCATTGAGCCCTGTGCGGCATATTTGGATGTTTTAGAGGAGAATAACGTCACTGCAGTTGTTGTTATGATTGGTAGAAAGTTAGAAGAGAAAATAGTAAACGAAAATCAGGCAAAGTACGACCTCCAAGCGTTTGAGAGTTGTTCGTCTTGTTATAGAAATTTTCAAATTAAAATCTGTTCCTTTGAAGAATAAAAGGGCACGAGACGAAAATATTCGCACTGGTTTACAATTATGGAATGAAAATCGACGGGACAAAGCTGCACGTTTTCTCGAGCAGGGGGCAAATGTATCTACCAAAATGGCTCTTGAATTGATCAAGGTAAACTGGGAATATAAAAAGTTTATGAAGATTTCTAGCAGGTCTTTAACTCCAAATCGTTTAAATTATTGGAACATGTCATTTTAATCATGTTTCGCTCGCTACTCTGGTTTAAATAAATGATTACAAAGCCCAGTTGACTGCGGTGACTGCGACATGCGGTGCCTGCGACATGTGGTGACTATGACATGCTGACTGCGACATGCGGTGACTGCGACAAAGAGTATTTGGGTCAGTCTAAACGCCAGTTTGGTACACGGCTAGAAGAACATCAAGAGGCTGTTTCAACTTTAGACAAGGGAAATCAGCTTTAGCCGAACATGTATGTGACCAAACACGAGATTGCGTGGGAAAACTCTAAAGTAATTACCACAAACAATCGCTATGGTCAAAGACTTTGCCTAGAAGCGTGGCATATAAATATGAGTCACCATGCTTTGAATAGGGATGACGGTGCCTATTTGCCAGAGGAATATATGCATCTTCTTGGCAGGTGACGTCATCCCTTGGGTATTTAAGAAGCCACTATCGCAGTTTTAGATCACCCCTGATGAAGACACTAGACTGGAGTGTCGAAACGTTGGGTCTTGATTACAATTCGACTGGACTTTGTAATCATTTATTTAGACCAGATTAGCGAGCGAAACATGATTGATATACCTGGTTGCAGTGAACGAACAAACGTTATGTCATTTTAAGTAGCTTTTTTTCCAAGAAGGGACAATATAAATAACCTTTCTGGTAGGAGGCCTACTTCGGGTCCAAAAGTTACCTTAAGTCGCCTTAAATCGCTCAAAGTCGCCTTAAGTTGCACTACAATCGCCTTGTACTCTTTGCGTTCTCGATAAATCGCATCCGTCAAAATGTGTGTATTTATTTTAATATTAAATAGTGTTTTAATAAAATGTTCTCGAAAAAGCAATATTACGCTATTTTGTTATTATATAAAACAAATTAATGAATGTTTATTTGTGAAAGTTATTCGGTGAAAGATGGAATGTTCCATCTTTCACCTCATGAAAATATTCTTACCATATTCATTGCACGAATAAACATTCATTATTTGTTTAATATAGGACCATAGAAGCTAGTTCTGACTCTGATCATGGCAATCCATTTGACATATTCGTCTGCAGCTGAACATAAAAAATTAATTATGAATATAAAAACAAAAAATGAGAGCGCACTCACTGCAGATTGATACTATCTAATTTTCTAATATATTTCAATATACACACTCACCGACACATCATCTGATTCATTTTGAGCAGATGGCTCTAAGAACATATTTAACTTTCCTTGACTTGGCCTCTTTCTGACCTCCAACAACTCTTTTTACCTTTTGGGGTGGTGTTTCTGGTGTTGAACTTGTTGATTTTGTACATTGCCTCTTAGGAGGCATCATACACGCTGTAAAATCGGTAAAAATAAAATAAAGCATGTGACCTACATTTGACAACAAACAGTGCTTTTGCGCAAATTATTATAGCGGCTAAACAAGAAGAGGTCGACTGGGGTCGATAGACTTCTGACGAATATTCATTATGCAATTGAGTGTTTGTTAGAAATAAATCACCTATACCTGCAATACAAACCTAGTGGAATTTTTTGAGCGGCAGCACTCTCCCCTTGACAAGCAAAACGACTGGTATGAGACATTAAAATAACTAGAAAATACATGCAGGCAGAAACCCTCGCCTTGCTGACAAAACCATTGTATTTTCCGAACATGAGGTATCTAAAGTAGTTGTCATGGTAACACGATAATTTTTTAAGAATATTTTTGCAAATGAAAAATCGCCTAAAAATATCGCTTTTAATTACAAATTGATCAATTTCCCAAACATACATATGTTAGGTATATGTTATTATACGTATTATATAATAACTTATTGAATTCTGATCGTTTAATTGGCTGTTTATTGTCACGTGATATTGAATAGAAAATTCCATTTCCCAAGAGTGCAATGGAATACGTTCCATTGCACTCTTTGCGAGTGCAATACGTTTTATTCCATTGCACTCCTTGTGTTTTTGATAAATTGCATCCGTCAAAATGCTTCTCGAACGGTGATCGCAGTTTATTTTAACCCGATTCTAAACTCAGTAAATGGGATTTAATGCAAATACAACTCGTCAAAATGGCAGGAGCTTTCAGTAAACCTTTTAATATTAGTCTATTTTGGCATTATATAAAACAAATAATGAATGTTTTTATTCGTGCAATGGTAAGAATATTTTCATTTAGTGAAAGATGGAATGTTCCATTCAACTCGGCTGTCGCCTCATTGGAATGGAACATTCCATCTTTCACCTCATGAAAATATATTCTTACCATTTCACGAATAAAAACATTCATTATTTGTATAATATAAGCTTCAGTTTAAGGTAGAATTCAACCACAAACGCTTCGCAAAACAGTTAAGGTGTGTTTTATAACTAAACTGACTTTAATTCTTTAAATGGCCTTATCAATAAACTTGGCGTACGCATTCTGTGATTACTCCCGTACGGTAAAGTGTAAAATTTCCTTTACCTTACACTTTGTACTTTACACGTACTTTACCGTGCCGCAAGCAGCGGCGGCGGAACAGATTTCATTCTGGGGGGGGCTAAATTTTTTTCCGTGACCTACCCCCCGTCGCCAAAAAAATTTTGGTCAGTGTATCATTTTAGGGGTACAAAAATTTTTCCGGACATATACGAGAAAAGGGATGAAATTTTTTTTCCGGAAATACACATTTTTTAAACAAAATATTGCAGATTTTTCCTCTTATACCTAAATTTTCAAACAATAACCTAAATTTTTCTTTATTTATCAAAATTTTTCCAGAAAAACTAAATTTTCTGTGGAGGCTAAGCCCCCCCCCCACTTTTACTTCTGGGGGGGGGCTTTAGCCCCCCTAGCCCCCCACCGGTTCCGCCGTCCCTGGCCGCAAGTATTTGATGGCGTGTGTTCTGACGGTTTTTCCGTTCTTTTTTCGGCGTGTTTTGATGGCGTACGTATTCTGTGATTACTCCGGTACGATAAAGTGTAAAATTTCCATGATTTAAAATTCTCGCATGCAAATAACTTTGCTTTCTTTTTTAATATTTAGAAATTCATTATAATAAAAAAGGGAATCAATAAAGATACACCACAGGCAGCCCAATCTCGCAAGGGTCAGTATAGACTTATAGTATAAATGTATATTATAGTAATGTATATTATAGTAAAAATATGTCATAATATATAAATTTTAAAATGAAATTGACTTGCCTTTTTGATAGTGTGTGTTCTCCTTGTATTCCTCCTTTGTTGGACTAATATTTTCCGAGACTTTGTACATCGATGTTACTAGTATACATGAAACATGATAAAGGCTAACGATTCCCAATCGTCGATACGATCGCACGGCACTTCGAATCGAAAATTCTCATACTTAAATTGCTTTATTCTCCAGAAAAATTCGCCAACATGCACAACAGATGCCGTTCTTCGAAAATACGGAGATACTTCGGCGAGATGTACAAGTTTTGGACCATATTTTAACAAAGGAAATCAAAACCCATTTTATATTGAACTTGCTCAGGCCGAAAATTACTACGGCTAACGTCTGCGCAACCAGGCCTCCTTTACCGTTGGATTTACAGGGGGGAAGCAGATGTTTCTGGTAACAGCCAGCCAATCGCAAACATGATAGCTACTGTTTACATTATTTGAAATTTGATATTCAAAATAAAAACTCCTTCGATCGGATACTGTATAAAACTCGAGATATTGTTGAAGAAAAGAAAACTAAACGACGGAGATTGTAGGAATTTAAGGAAGAAGAAATATACAGCGGCTCTTTGTTGGAAAGCATGGTAGAATATGATACTTTAATTCGAAATATGATCGTTAATATATTAGTGGCAACCTCCCCCCTGTAAATCCAACGGTAAAGGAGGCCTGGTTGCGCAGACGTTCGCCGTAGTAATTTTCGACCTGGGCAAGTTCAATATAAAATGGGTCTTGATTTCCATTGTTAAAATATGGTCCAAAACTTGTACATCTCGCCGAAGTATCTCCGCATTTTCGAAGAACGGCATCTGTTGTGCATGTGGGCGAATTTTTCTGGAGAATAAAGCAATTTGAGTGTGAGAATTTTCGATTCGAAGTGCCGTGCGTTCGTATCGACGAACGGGAATCGTTAGCCTTTATCATGTTTCATGTATACTCGTAACATCGAGTACAAAGTCTCGGAAAATATTAGTCCAACAAAGGAGGAATACAAGGAGAACACACACTATCAAATAGGCAAGTCAATTTCATTTTAAAATTTATATTTTATGACATATTTTTACTATAATATACATTACTATAATATACATTTATACTATAAGTCTTTTCTGACCCTTGCGAGATTGGGCCGCCTGTGGATACACTGAAATTATGTGCTGTCTTGTTTAGTTGTTTCATATACGCAAAGCCAAAGGCCGTCGGGTTTAAAGCAATTATAAAATCAATATTTAAAACAAACATACCTTCGTTAACGTCGGCGCCTTTGCACCCTTCTTGAAATTTACAAAATCTTGCAAAAATGCGACCAGAAATGAAATATATTTGCAAGAAATTTAGAAATCATCAAATCAAGAAATATTTGCTATTTCGCTGTCGTCATGCCGTCGTTATAATGCAAATTTTAAATTGGACCAATCAGTGTTCGCTATTCACGACAGTCCGCTATATTTTGAGATCAGTGAGGATGACCACCCATGAACGGTGACCCACGCCAGCGATCATTGATGAACCTTAGACTTCGCTAGGCATATAGCCGCGCGGAATTATAGTGCCCTCGTCGTCCGCTCGGGGATAAAGTCGGGTGCATTGCTATTGGGGCACAATGCAAATATGGTGACAAAATTTAGTTTTCATTTGTATAGCCCCAGCGAGTTAACGCTTTATAGAGCGTCTTGTTATACTGAAACTTACATACAAGCGCGCTCCTGCTGAAACCACAACTAACTTGCGTTACGTCACAAATAATGCTCGTTCCAGACTTCAAGCAGCTAAATATTCCGACCGCCATGTGCCAAGTAAAATCGCAATATAAGCAGGTTCAAGTGGCTCTAAAATTTTAGCTTTTTAACCAACAGCAAAAGTTTTTTCGCGAGACTGCTACACTCATAGTATACCTTTATTATGCCGAAAATCAATTTTGGGGTTACGGACACTTTAAACGATATAGATATATACAGTAAATTTCTGACGTTGTTTAATTATACAAATACATGCATTATTAAAGTCACATGCTAAATAAACAAATTTGATGAACGTTGCTTACATGTTTACTACTTTAGAGTTAAAAATTTTAGATATCACACATTCTTAGCTTTTCTTGGTCTAGTTTACAGAAACATATAGCTACAATTAATAGAATAAAGGTAATTGAGTCAGTACAAATTTGCCAAAAGTTAGCAGATAAACGTGTTTTATAGTCCACGTCAATTTGTTAAAAGTTTAAAAGGATGCCGCTTAAGTTTTAAAAATTTCAAATTACTTAATTAACTCAAACGGATCATCGTCCAATGTTGCCAACCGCATGGTTTGTCCCTTCTTTTTGTTAATCTCAGCAATTGCTTCGTTCATTCTACCAGGAAAATTCATAATAAGACCATCCAAACCCATTTCAAGATAAGTCTTCGCTGTTGATTTTTTGTCAACTGACCATGCATACACTTTGCTGAAATAGTTTCCGTTATCTCGATATTTCACTTGACTTGACAGTTCGTCCAAGTACTTTTTCGGACTCCAGTTTGTTATTCCACTGCTAAGCCAAGCGTGATATGGAGAAACGCCAAGATCCCTCAATGCTTTCTCTTTCTCACCTGATTCAGTTAACTTCGATTCCCAGCTGATGTCGAAGCCAATCTTTTGAATGATGTCTGGATTCCCAGTTGCTTTCAGTTGACTCAAAACCGCAACAATGAAATCTTTCAAAGTAAAATCTGGAACGCTTATTATTACCTTCATCTTGGTAGGGTTATCTTTATACAATGGAATTAAGATTTTGTTAGCAAATTTCTCACCGGCTGTGCTTAAACTATTTTTCTTTACATTTTTCAACTTAACATCAAACATAACCAAAACCAATTGCCTGCATGTTGAGCTTCTGGCTGTCATGAAGTGTTCTCTCTCGAAGAGCTTTGATGTAGTTCCCAATGTAAGCCCAACGTATGCAATCGCGACCAGCATCACAGGGTGTCCCGTGATAGAAGTAGTCAAGTGTGCCATCTTTTGTAAATGAAACATCTACCTCAAGCGCGTTTGATCCGTACCCCAACCAGGTATCAATCTGCTTGACAGAGTTAACCATATGAGCTATATTGTATATAGGTCGAACTGTTGTCGACTTCGGTGGAACCGCTAAAACGAGAAAAAAACTAACTGTAAATTATATATGCAAGGTAAATCGAGATAAAACCACCTTTGCTTTCATATTGCAAAAGATGTGTAATTGTGGTTATACACAACTTGGTGTGTAAAATTATTTTTTAGAGTATATTTACAGTTGCTTCTGCAAAACAATTCGCTTTAGCTCATATACCACTCCGGCTCATGTGTGATTGATAAATTATACCAATATTTCTATAAATATACGTATATTTCTGTAAATTCCGTTTTTGCCTGACGGATGATTCAGTTTGAATCGAAAATTTACAATTGGTAAAATTGTGCTTTATTAATCCAAACTGTAATTTCGGGGAGTCATTTTAACTCCAAAAGTGGAGTAAAAAAGATACAAACCAACTTTTGTTTTGGAGTACATTTTACTCCAGTATTTTAACTCCAATTGTGAAGTACACCAAAATTGCAGTAAAAACTACTCCCTCCGGAGTTAAAATAACTTCAAGAATGGAGTAAACGTTACTCCTAATTTGTAGTTGAAATACTGGAGTAAAATTTACTCCAATTTATGAGTCAAAATAACTCTTATATATTGAAGTAAAGAAACTGAAGTCCTTATTAACTTTAAATTAAATCACTGATAAATTAAAGACATTTTTCAAGTCAAAAGAATTTATTAGCCCTACAATTATATTACAATCAAGTATATACTTATCACTTATTTACTGAGACCGAGGTCTCAGTAAATAAGTGTTTTATTATATATCAATAGTCAAAGAAACAACAAATTAAAGAACAAATGAACGTAAACACATGGAATATTTTATTGTTAAAACGTTTTATTATATATCAATAGTCAAAGTCGCATTTTTCTAGTGTTTTATTGGTTGAGAGCATATCACGTGAGAGTGACAGAAATGAGGCTGTCTCCCTCGTAACAGCGCGAGAGGGAGATAATACGTTATCGACCGGCGAATAACAAAAAAATCACGCGCGCTATCACGTGAAGGTGCGACCTTTGGATATGCCTAGTACGTAATTAAAACTTTCGCTTTAAGTAACTGCAGTGTAGACTGTGTTTAATATAACGTTTTAACAATAAAATATTTCATGTATTTACGTTCATTTGTTCTTTAATTTGTTGTTTATTTATCGACGGTCTCGCGGGTCCACAAAACACACTGTTTCCCTCGGTCTCAGTAAATAAGTGATAAATATTAAACACTGGCTACACTGCAGTTACACTTAAAGCGAAAGTTTTAATTATGTACTAGGCATGTCCAAAGGTCGCATCTTCGCGTGATAGCGCCATAGATATCTTATATACACTAGATAGTGCATCTAATTATTCTGCAATTCAAAAATTGAAGTCGTGATTGCAGTCTCAGGTCGTTCCCATGAAATGAGAAGATTCGTATGTTTTCTATTTCTTAAACAGGGAACTTAAACATTAAGTTGACCCTATTCCAAATACGTTTTTAAACTATTCAAATGATGAAAGTTATTGTTGTTTTTAAGCATTTATTAGCAAGTGGGAACGACCAACATGGCCGCCATCTATTCAAATGGGGGTAACCGCTGGAATATTCTTGGCTTCAATTTTACTAAATGAGATGCGCTATCTAGTGTATATAAGATATCTATGGATAGCGCACGTGATTTTCTTTGTTATTCGCCGGTCGATAACATATTAGAGAGGTTAAGATACCCCGGTTCCGGTTTACGGGTACGAGTATCGCCATTTTGTTTACCAATTTTTGCTGATGTCAGCAATTTTACCCGTAATTTCTACCCGTTTCCCCGCGGTAAACCGTGGTCTACACGTAAACGACAAACGGGTACGGGTGTTTACTGTTTACTATTTTTGGGCGGTTTAAATACTACAAATTTTTAACATCTTACCCAAATAAATAATGCACATATGCTGGTCAAAGTATTCAACAATTTATGGCGAACCTCAACAAGCGAAAGTTGCCATTCTCTGATCGGTTTACTCACGCCAGAGTTTCTTGGATTTCTTAAGTTACAAATTATTCCCCGATTTACGGGTACGGGTACGTGTATATCACCCGTACCCGTAAACCGGAATCGGGGTATCTTAACCTCTCTAATGTTTCCCTCTCGCGCTGTTGCGAGGGTGACAGCATAATTTCGTCACTCTCACGTGATATGCTCTCAACCAATAAAACACTAGAAAAATGCGACTTTGACTATTGATATATAATAATAACATATATGCCTATATATATGGCCTGTATTTTAACAGAACATACAATTTGCTTTAGCGTATAATGATACATTCTTACGCTCGATAAGATTTTTATATAGTGATCAAAAGTTTTTTAGTGATCAACTCGAAAGTTTATGCTCCTTTGATCACTGCGCACCTTCACTTTATTAAATTAACTGATTCAAAACATAATTATTTGTAAAATTTTATATACATTTTCCTTGTTTTGTAAATAGTGCAGTTTCTGAATAAATCTTGAAATCTCTTCCTGCACTACAGTTCTAAGGTTAATCAAATTTTGATTGAAATGATATCATGACTATACATATATGCATAATATGCTGGATTGCAGGAATGTTGCGAATAGCCAATATTACAGTGCATCTACAGTAAGTGGAGCCACTTAGAGAACACTAACCAATCGCATTGCAGAACAAAAAGAAAAATCTAATCAAACTAAAGCGCGTCCAATCAAAAGAAAGCTCCAGGAAGCCATTAACTGCAGTGTTTACTTTTCAAGTCTATTTTTACCGTTTGACATTCATTTAATTGTTCAAATTGTTTTTGGCCTAATGCTGATTGGCTAATGCGCCGTTTGTTGATTTTTTAAATTTTTGTTCTGCAATGTGATTGGTTAGTGTTCTCTAAGTGGCCCCACTTACCGTAGACGCACTGTAAAATATTGGAGAATATCAAGAGCCTACTCTATATACCAGGGTGGTGTCAATGGTTAAAGTGTATTCACCTTTGTTCATTAAATAATCTGGGATGACACTATAGTATTAATGCATGTATATACACACATGAACTCTTGGTGAGCTTGATGGACTCTCGGTTAGCTTGACGGACTTATTACATAGTTATTACATAGTTATTGTTCAAAACTTTCATCTACAGAAAGATTTTAATTAACCCATTGAGTAGCAGCATTCTCCCCGATGAGTAAAAGTGCCTGGTATTAAACAGAATAAAATAAAATAATAAAGTAGAGAACATTGTCACTTAAAGTGTTAACGTAACATTCTGTTCAGTGTAGAATATTTACAAGTAAACTAGAAATACATGCATGCAACAACCCCTCGGCTACTATAGATATTTTCCAAACATTGTTTCAACATGAAGTATTCCTAATTACACCGAACGCAGGCTCACGTTGCGGCGTCATGTTAGCCGTGGCAACACGATAATTGTTTTTTTTAACTTTTGGTACAAAACTGCAAAAATAAATGGAGCTTGAACATTTTTACTACAGAACTATCAATCTCTAAAATATATAAACTAGCTAGATATGTTATTTTGCATTCTATGCGATTTATTTTAATGTACTGAAATTTAACACAAAACCGGTAATACGATGTGCCGATAAACTTTCAACTTATTCCTCATACCTTGAAATGAAATAAATTTAAATCGTACAGAGCGCTAATAAAAATAATTTGCTACTACTAAATAACGAGCTTCTACAAAAATGTGAACAAGTTAATTTAGGAAACTTTCGCATGCAATGAACTGAAAAGCTGTGCATATTTGGGCAAAACTTTGACAACAAAATCAAAGACAAAGTCATACTAAATTAAGTCTTAATGTTTATGTTTTAAAATTTAAAAAAAAAACGCTAACTTCAGATAAACTGCCTATATTTGTCTTGAAGCCAAATCTGACGCGAGGTCACGCAAATCACGCGTGTTTATATCATGATTGACTGATTGAACGCTATTTTGCATGCGTGAAAAGACTGGGACTGGCCTGCAAGTTGGCCCTCAAATCTCCGATTGGAGGTAGTATTCCAGCTTTATTTATTTCAAAGCGATTTGGGATTTTGGTCGAGGGTCGAGGATCGCAAGTCGAGGGTCGAGGGTGAAGTCGAGGGTCGAAATCTTTAAAATTTTGGCCTAGTTTCTAAACGAGCATACAAAATTATAAATGAATGATAGTATAAATTAATGTAGTTTGCAATGACTGTTTTGAAAAACGCAAGCGGTACCGCTCGCTTAGTTGACTGTTTAAAGTTGAACTGCAAAGTTCAAATTCCGTTCGAATTAACAAGCGACACAGCGCAATTTCTCTAAAAAAATATGTGATTCCACATGACCTGAAAAGCGCGATTTGAACGGATGGCAGCTAGAGGGCCGGTCATATATAAGACTACACGTAGATCGACGGGTCTGCTGCGCAGTCGGGCTTTCTGATACTCGCATGCTTTTCCATTTAACTCTTTATGAGAACACAGATGAATCCGCAGTTCCTTTCAGCAAGTTTCACTGAAAGTATCAGGGATAGATCGTGGCCATGGGTTATATCTCAGACCAGAGCCAGAGGAGCGGATTCATATTTGTTAATGTCATCTTGCTCTTTACGAATGACGTCGGCTTTTAATAGAGCATAAAGTCATAATTATCAGTCTAAATCAAAGTACGGTAGACAGATTTATATAATGATATGTATTTTAAACTACGTAGTATTAAACTATTCCCGAACAAAAGCAATAACATTCCTATGTATACAATAATAAACCAACGTTCAGAATCAGTACGTTGCAAACTGTCAAATTCCAATAATGGTTTGAAATGGTATTTGCTTATACACACGACTAAGAATACTTCTACTTAAATTTAAACTTTTTTAACTGTTTTGTTTTTCATACGTACATATACAAGCACGGAAAAGTGTATATTTATTTCTAAATTCTACAAATATATGAAAGGTACGTATATACGCGTTTACAATTTAATAGCCTAGATGACCAAACAAAATCATTCACAGTACTAAATGCTGTATATATTTATTTATGCGTTTGTTCCATAATTATGATAACATTTTACTCGACTTAGATCTTTCCATGCGTAAACATGCATATATATGTATCTTATGAATCTAATATTTTACTGATCTGAATAATATATAGCATTATATGAATCGAATACAAACTCGAATCTTTAGTAAATAGGTAAATAACTTTCCTCATATATCACATGGAGTGTAAAGTCTAAAGACAAGATATGACGCACACTAGAGGCCGAAAATAATCCACAGTAAATTAGACAATCACTGAACATCTTTTGGCATAGTTTTTTTAGCATCTTAGCACCGTTGCTAAATTATCACAATTATTGTACAATCATACCTTGCTTAAAGGTAATGCCATCCGAAAAGCGACTGCTTCGTCTTCGCGCGCTGGAATTCTTTTAGCCGGTATAAGTGCCAAATTCTTCAAGACCTGGTGGTGATGGTTTTTGACGCATTCAACATTTCGTGTGTATGCATCAAAAATCGAATAAAACTGAGGGGTTTTTAGTTCAAATTTCACACTGAATGTAGTTTCAGTATTTTATCCTACTAGGAAATAAAGCATGCATGACTATAGGCATATAAATCTCACTTACGAGCAGGCCGAGATGGAGGAGATCTTCTTCTGCGCGCGACAGCATTGGCCTTGATCTGGCAATGCAAGCAGCACACCGAGTCCAAGGAATAAAGCAAATGACCACATCTTGATATTGTACACTTGTGTGACAATTTCTGAAGGGTAACCTTAGGCTTACTGAAATTTCGTGTTACAGCCTTCTTTTATAGCCCATCACATGTATGCATAGCAGTGAAGTACCTCCCCCTTGCTCATACGCGCTGAAAGTAAAAAAAGTGAAAAGAGATTCCGATAATACTTTGGTGATTATGCGGTTTGAGAGGAGTAATGTCCAATACAGGCATCTGATGTCTGATGGTGAAGATGGTGTACGGTGGTGTATGATGGTTGAAGTGTGTCAGATGGTTGTCAGATGGTGTATGATGGTGTATGATGGTCGAAGTGTGTCAGATGGTTGTCAGATGGTGTATGATGGTGTATGATGGTCGAAGTGCGTCAGATGGTTGTCGGATGGTGTATGATGGTGTAGGGTGGTTATACAGGGAAGGGTTGTCAGATGGTGAAGATGGTACAGATGGTGTATGATGGTCGAAGTGTGGCAGATGGTTGTCAGATAGTGTATGATGGTGTATGATGGTCGAAGTGTGTCAGATGGTTGTCGGATGGTGTATGATGGTGTAGGGTGGTTATACAGGGAAGGGTTGTCAGATGGTGAAGATGGTACAGATGGTGTATGATGGTCGAAATGTGTCAGATGGTTGTCAGATGGTGTATGATGGTGTAGGGTGGTTATACAGGGAAACGTTGTCAGATGGTGAAGATGGTACAGATGGTGTATGATGGTCGAAATGTGTCGGATGGTTGTCAGATGGTGTATGATGGTGTATGGTGGTCGAAATGTGTCAGATGGTTGTCAGATGGTGTATGATGGTGTATGATGGTGTATGATGGTCGAAGTGTGTTAGATGGTTGTCAGATGGTGTATGATGGTGTAGGGTGGTTATACAGGGAAGGGTTGTCAGATGGTGAAGATGGTACAGATGGTGTATGATGGTCGAAATGTGTCGGATGGTTGTCAGATGGTGTATGATGGTGTAGGGTGGTTATACAGGGAAGGGTTGTCAAATGGTGAAGATGGTACAGATGGTGTATGATGGTCGAAATGTGTCGGATGGTTGTCAGATGGTGTATGATGGTGTATGATGGTCGAAATGTGTCAGATGGTTGCAGATGGTGTATGATGGTGTATGATGGTCGAAGTGTGTCAGAAGGTTGTCAGATGGTGTATGATGGTGTAGGGTGGTTATACAGGGAAGGGTTGTCAGATGGTGAAGATGGTACAGATGGTGTACGTATGATGGTTGAAAATGTGTCAGATGATTGTCAGATGGTGTATGATGGTCGAGCGTGTCAGATGGTTGTCAAATGATGTATGATGGTGTAGGGTGGTTATACAGGGAAGGAGTAGGGAAGAGCTGTCAGATGGTGAAGATGGTACAGATGGTGTATGATGGGCGCGGGGTGTCATTCGGTGTAGAATGCTTATATTAGATATTACATTGCTATATTTTATTATTACTTACATACACTTTAGCCAACTATAGTATGTGTAAAAAATATAATGTTATATCGAACATTGCGGTTCTCGTGTGGGAAACGTAATTCAAAGTATTTGGCAAAATATATATTTAAACACATTTGACAGACATGTTCGACGTTAATATATTTAAACGCATTTGACAGACATGTTGGACGTAATAAATAAAAATATAATATGATATCTCACGTTGCGGTTCTCATCTCAAAATATATTAAAACGCATTTGGCAGACATGTTGGAGGTAATAAATAAAAATATAATATGAAGATATGATATCTCACAATGCGGTTCTCATGTGGGAAAGATAATTCAAAGTATTTGGCAAAATATATTTAAACGCATTTGACAGACATGTTCGAGGTAATAAATAAAAATATAATATAAATATATGATATCTCACGTTGCGGTTCAAATCAAATCAAATCAAATCAAATTTATTTCCGTAGGGTAACCTCTTCAGTAATGTATCACTGGTATCAATTTTAATATATTTGGCAAAATATATTAAAACGCATTTGGCAGACATGTTGGAGGTAATAAATAAAAATATAATATGAATATATGATATCTCACAATTCGGTTCTTATGTGGGAAACGTAATTCAAAGTATTGGTCAAAATATCACATTTGACAGACATGTTCGAGGTAACAAAAATTGAATTTTGCTGAACTTATCGCGCGGCGCTGACACAAAAGTCTTCATTGTAGGCTTTTATTTCTACAAGCAACAGTTTCTTACTGTAATAACACCAATTCGGTTGGGTAGATTTGCTGTATAGGGGCGTCATGTTTGAACTCTATTATATGTAAGGGAAATAAAGGACTAGTGTATAAATGGGAGAAATTTTGAGCCATCCAAGGGAGACATATATCTCATAAATCAAAGTGTTGAAATTTGAGACGGCTTCCGTTTTTGTGTTCGGGTCAAGGTTTACACTAGACTATATTAAGCGCGCGTAGGTTTATAGCGCCCTGGTTGAATGTTCAAAACTTCGTAAGTAGATTAGCCTGCGTAGCAGTCGCTTTATTTTATTGTAGGTTTTGAGGATTTTTGAATAAATGGCGGGTTAGAAAAAATGGGCCCTTCGCCCTTTATTTTTCGCCCGTTTTTTCGCGCCCTTTTTTTTTCTTCGTCCATTTTTCTAACTCGCCATTTATTCAAAAATCCTCAAAACCTACAATAAAATAAAGCGACTGCTACGCAGGCTATAAGTAGATTTACAGCCATGCCTTCGCTTAGAGATAACAATCGTTTTAGCACTGTGAAGGTAGCTGGGGATTGGGCCCCAGATTCGACCTTAGATTGGGCCTCACATTCAACTGTATTCAATTATTCAAAAGTAGATTATTTGAACCCCTTTTCTGGCTACTTTTAAGGTATTTTTTACTTTAAATTAGTAGTAACCGATGAGCAATGCAAACTCCTGCACCAGGCAAATGCCTGCTCCTGCACCATATAGTTGAGTTTCGAAACAATTAGGGAGGCCGATTTTGTACAAACGCTTGCTGAATATAGATGTTGGCACAGTGTAATTCTATTGTCTAACATTTAATATATAAACAAAAGAAATGAGTGTAATTCTATAAACAAATTAAAGCAATAAGCACCTTATTAATCCTTGCCGTTTTATTTTCTTTATTTACTAGCTTTGTCATTAATGGTTGGTGATCCCTACAGGGCTTATTGCCCCATTCACGGGGTCCCTAAACTAAACATTTACCGATCAATTACAACACATTTTATCTACAATCAGTCGACACGATCGAGTGACATTTAACACAGCCAGTTTTAAACGATTGTGCTACATTAATGTCAAATATAATGGACGTTGGTGAGCTTGTACTCCAATTTGCTGTACGTCATTAGAAAGAGCATGACATACTGCACAATATAGTTTCAGAACAATTAGGAATACAGATCTTGCGGAATATAGATGTTTGCACAATGTAATTCTATAAACAAAAGCAATTACCACCTTATTAATCCTTGCCGTTTTGACATTGGTGAGCTTGTGCCCCAATTTGCGGTACATCATTGGAAAGAGCATGAAATACTGCATGATATAGCCAAGTTTGGGAAGAATGGGGAAGACAAATTTTGTGCAAACGCTTGCTGAATAGTGATGTTTGTAATTCTGTAGTCTGGCATATAATCAGAAAAGTAATTAGCACTTATTAATCCTTGCTATTTCGACGTTTGTTAGCTTGTGCCCTAATTTACTGTACATCAATGGAAAAAGCATGAAATACTACACAATATAATCGAGTTCGGGAACAATTGGGGAAGACAGATTTTGGGGCAAACGCTTGTGGAATATAGATGTTTGCGCAATGTAATTTTATAAACAAAAGTAATTACCACCTTATTAATCCTTGCCGTTTTGACATTGGTGAGCTTGTGCCGCACTCAGTATATCATTGGAAAGAGCATGAAATACTGCATAATATAGGCGAATTTTGGTAACCGTTTTATGTACCGTTGCCGTGGTTTTGAAAGTAGTCTTACGCCCGTATTCAAAAAGCTCACTCACACTCAATGAGAGGAAGTTCAGTCTGAGCTTCTCTCGAGTGTCATTGCTGTTTTTGAATAGCTGGAGGGTTAGTGTCATACCGTTACTATGTGACTATACTCACGTTCCCGGCAGCTATTGAAAAACAGCGCTGACACTCAAGAGAAGCTCAGATTGCATGAACCTTCACTCATGCATTGAGTATGAGTGTGAGTGAGCTTTTAGAATACGGGTGTTAGTGCAGGTTTCTGTAATTATGTCAGTAGATTACTAGATTTTATATATAAAGAGTTCATTATTAGAATTTTTGTTGACAAGTGTTATATTATTAAGTTCACAATGTCCACGATGCATGCATGCATGCATACAGTGGTTTGAAAATTAAAATTATATAAAAATATATAAATGTATTTGCCAATGGTTTCAAGATATTTTAAGGAAATTTAATATATCGATTTCATAAATGATTATATAATTGTAAAACACCAGTCACCAAAACTGAATCGAAAATGCATGGCTATATTTGGGAGCAATCCCAGTAAAACGATCTATTCTGTAACGAGTCCTCCGGTGACTCGAATCATAACTCGATGTGAATCCTCGTGGCTCTGGTTACTAACTCAAAATAGTCGCTATTGGCACTGGCGGCTAAACATGTACAATCAATTAGTCAATGTCAATGGCACATTGTCCTTGCGGACAACGTTACTAAATGTATATACGAAAAACGTCTATACGTGGCCTATAGATGCTTTGTACAATTGAGCATAGAAGCCTTTACGCATCTATAGAGCCCTGTAATTGTCCTTGACGACGTAAATTACAAAATGGGCAGTTATGACGGTTTGAAAACGAGTATAATATAGGCTATTGTATTGCAGCTGTCTTTTCTGACAGTTCTTAACCTTTAAAGTAAATTAGAAAATGATGTAATTATACTCGCTTGCGATAGTAAAATATATTCGTCGTTTTGCAGTGGCGTAACTCCTATGAGCTCTACCCGGTAAGAGCCGGGGGCACCCAGGCAATCTGGCTTCCAGGCGGGCACCCTGAACTGAGTTGTCCGGCGGCCTTGTTTATATAATTTCCGTTTCGTAAAGCTATTAAGAATTTTTGCCGTATTCAGATTTTCTGTATCACAGTTGGTATATAACGTGACTCCAGAAGTTGAAGCGAGCGAGCGAAGCAGCATTCTAATATATGCAGAGAGGTGGTTTTGAAGTAATGTGGGGCCACTGTAATTGGCATAGCTGTTGTGGTTTCCCAGTCAGTGAATGTATAAGTATTATGGCAAAGTAAATAAATAAATTTTATTTAGCGCATTGCATTGTCGTCGTGCGCCCTTGCTATGCGCAGAACATAAAATATAAGCGACGTGCGACATACAGTATTTGAGGCGTACTTGAAAGATATCGTCAGTTTTGCTTGCTTCGACTTGTAAATTATTTTGACTCAGGCTCTCAGCGTAAGGTTTATTAAAGTTTTAGGCCCTGCAAAAGCCATAATTTAGTGCATAAAATAACGTGACTGCACTTTGTGCCTTGAAATTCACTCAATGGACTTCAGCCACTGAACACTGTTAGTTCTATATTATTATAAAGTTTTGGTTCCTTAGTTTAATTTAATTACTGTGTATATAATGTGGTAAATGCGCCTAGGAGTATAATTAGACTTAATATGAAATCCAATAGCAAAAACTTGTGTTATATAATTTGCCTGTACGTCTTAAGAATGCTTTGTCATTTGTATTTATACGCGTACTAAAGCAGCGCGTAATTCAACAGATTCCACTTGGTCTTGGAAATATTATATATTCTGGCTGTAGGGAGTGGGAGTGTAGGCTATGTCTTAAGAATGTTGGTCGTTTGAATTTATACGCCGGTACTTAAGCAGCGCGTAATTCAACAGATTCCACAGTTACACTTGGTCTTGTAAATATTATATACTCAAACATTTCTTGATTTGATGAATGATAAATTTCTTGCAAATATATGTCATTGTTGCTCGCATTTTTGCAAGATTTTGTAAATTTCAAGAAAGAAAGGGTGAAAGAATCGGCTAAAAGAAGGGAGCCGACGTTAACGAAGGTAAGTTTGTTTTAAATATTGATTTTATAATTGCTTTAAAACCCGACGGCCTTTGCGTATATGAAACAACTAAACAAGACAGCATATAATTTCATTGTATCTTTAATATTGATTCCCTTTTTTATTATATTGAATTTTTTAAATAAATAAAA